ACACATTCTTACATCTGAGTAAGACTGATTTCCTTCTTTTGAGTGGATTTGTAACTTTAACACTATTTTAATCTAGGAAATAAATTTCTATGCTACATCTTGTACTTTTATAATCTAAAGACATATGGCATGAGAGGGAGAAAAAAAAATCATAATCATGCTGTAAGCCAGTTAACTAAAACCTGGTAAAATTCTAGTGCTCATCTTCAAAGAAAAATATAAAACTGATAATGCAGTGAAAATTTATTAACCATCTATAGAGGCTATGTACTTTCCATCAGACTTTTATCAATGGGCTGCTACATTTTCCCTGTACTATTATAAAATCTCTCTCTTCAATGCCAACTGAACCATAGTTTCCCCTATAAGCAGAGATCAAAGGTTCCCTATGGCGAAGACAGCAGCTCTTTAGATAGCAGTGCTTTCTTCACATTTGTTTTTCTGGCAGGAAATCATAAAATGCATTACTGACAGAGACATTTACTTGATTTAAAGTAAGATCCTGCCCTGAAGAGTGACTCCGTACAAGACTATGTTTATTATTATCACCTCTCAATGACACTGTAACAGATAATTGACAAGGAAAATATTATCTTTCTTTAATGATATCTTCCAAACTCATCCTAGACTGACTTTTCCCTTTCATTGATCACTACCAGCAATAAAGATATTGCAAAAGAAATAATGCCCTCAGAGACACCCGCACAACCCCATTCCTCCCCACTAAGGCAGTGCAGTTATAGTTCAGCGCTCTCACTGCTGTGACCTCATCCCATCTCACAACATAAGCAACTTGCAGCAGGCGATCACAGTATGAGTTTTCGATTTCCTGCCATACTGTAAACACGAATATCTAAAACACATCCTACTGTGGGAACCACAAGCACAGACACGGCACCAAGGGATAGCTACGTAAAACTTTAAACTACATGGACAAATTTTCAGCCTGACATAGGACACCAGTGTCTGGATTCAGATTCTCATGTCTTGTGTAATTCAGCCATTTGGAGTCACTCCTCACTTTGCTCTGGATGAAGGAAAGAGAAACAGGTAGTTCTTTCTTTCACCCATGTTAAATATTCTAACACAGTTTTCCAGTGCCTAGTCAGCATCTGTTGTCTTAACTTATTTCTGAGAGTACACCAGACTTGCAGAGGTTGCTTCCACAGGCTCAGAAAGAAAATAACAGGAAGCGTAACAGTCAGACAAACAGAAATTCTTCTCACAACCATGGAGCAGCCCCATTCTGAGACGAAGCCAAATCCACGTTTGTGAAAGAACAGGTGACAGTGACAGAAAGAAAATCTATAATTCTCTTGTCTTTTACCATAACTCAACTTCATGCCAGAATCTATAGCTCTGCAACCACAAGCTTAGCTTTTGTTTTGTTGTATTGCCCTGCAACAATGAAAATTTATTCAATGAAAAAGGTAAAAAAGTAAGCTACACTTGATCAGATGAGATTTCCAAGTGGTTACTGCAACAACACTATAGATAAAAAGCATATTTTTAAAAAGCCCTTTCGACTAGTGCTATGCTCTTCTAGTTTTGCATGAGGATTTTTTTCCCCCTCCACTTCCTCCTTCAATCCACCCAGAATCCTCACACTTCTAGTATTTGCTCTGTTAAATGAACATTTCCTCCCCCGTTCACTCTGCTATTCACTACGAGTGCTTAGGTTGCCGTACTACTGTAAGCCACAAAACACAGCTGAAGGAAACAATTTCCAAAGGGGAACTATTTCTGATTCAGACCAGTTCAATGATTTTCACAGCACGAAGTTCACAGTAAAACCCAACACCACTTGTATTGCCTCAGATGAAAGGAGTATGGTCTCCCTACATTTGCACTTCTACCAAAGGTCCTTATGAAGAAATGCTGGCGTGTTTCTGTCTGTTCTTTTACTCACCAAAATCTAATTGCTCATCGGTCAGGCACGCTTTATCTATCCACCCCACGTACAACCAGTTGCAGCCACCAGCAGACTTGATTTCAGTGTCAGCTGTGCCAAGCTGACCAAGGAGGCCAGTGGGATACGCGAGGTACACGCTGCTGGTAAGTCACAGCTGTCATCCCACCACCCAACCTACTTAAAAGCAGTCTGCATTATTCCCTGGGATTCAATACATTACAGCACAAGGGAGCTGCTTTGGTCTTGGTACTACCAGCACTGAATGAACTTGTATTTAACATCATGCAAATACAACTAAAGACTGCTTTGAAGTTTCATCCAAAATATAGGACAAAATATCAATGCAATAGTGACAGTTTATATGCCCCTGCCATACTTTTTTGAGTTTAATTTTCAAATACCCGTATCAACAATAGAAAGAGCTGGACAGATTGTAGAGGTCACTGTGTTTCAGAGATACCAAATCATTTTATAGCAAAACCTGCATACATCCTATGCTAATAGCTCCTGTAAGTTGAGGCTAGAAAGCGCAGTGCCTAGTGATGTGCTCCAGGGCACTGTAAGCACTGACAGTGGGAAAAAAAAAGAAGTGGAAAAAACAAAGAGAGAGAGATGCTCCTGTCTCCTTAACTGCAAGCAAAAAAACCACTAAATTATATATAGTTTGCTGAGAAAAGTTTTGAAAGAAAAAAAAACGCAGAATTTAAAATCTATTGACTTTCAAAAGCATTAGGAATATTAACCAATTCAAATATGTACTAAAAGACTGAAGAGAAAAAAAGTACTTTAAGTTAAATTTCAGTTAAAAAACCTAAACTTAATTTAAGCACTGGTATTGCCACCTCAATTTTCTGCACCAAATTTGACCCAAGGGAAGATTCGCAGAGAGAAATTTGAAAAAGGTAAAAAGGTAAGCTACACTTGATCAGATGAGATTTCCGAGGGGTTACTGCAACAACACTATAGATAAAAGGCATTTTTTAAAAAAAGCCCTTTCGACTAGTGCTTCAGTAAGGCAATCAGTATCCATGCAGTATGGAAAATTTTGTAACCAACAAATTCCTTTTTCATCATCCTGTATTTTGGACACTTGCTACTTTTACTTTACTGTTACTAGTATTGACACTCGTCTTCTCAGACCAACCAAAGCTCTACTGCAAAACCCACGAATTTAAATAGATGGTGTAGCCCTATAATCAAGAGACTCTTGCCCTACTTAAATAAAGCATAAATCACTCTTTCTCCACTGCTAATATTTTTTTTTCCTGAAAAAAAGGGGGTGATGGTGGTGTACTTTTCAACAGTGTTTAGAATTCCCTCAGTAGTCATAATCTGTATTTTCAGTTGTGCCTTTCTTGAAAATGGTTTAACGACAAATTACCTTTCAAAATTTCTTAAATCATTTAATTTTTTCACAGAAGTGAATAACTGATTCAAAAATTCCCAATACAAAATATTTCTCTTGAGAGTAGACTTCCAAACAAACACGTTTACTAACAGAACCAGAGCACATTGCTCGGATCTCTTCACAAGAGCGTGTGATTAGGACTAGGAGCTGAAAAATCAGGCATTTCACAAGGTTAACAAGTTTGCCATTACACACAGTAACACTATAAAAGCAGGAGATACGGTTCCTACTTGTCCTTCCTCCACTCTCCCTAACTAATCTATTCAGATAAATTGTCATGGCAACCTGATTTATACACCAAGGATATTAGCTAAGACAAGTCAATTCTCCTTGGATATCTTGTGAATAGAAAAAGTCCTGCCCATTCTGATGCTGGCAGAGACTAAGGCTAAATGCCCTTCCCTGTTACAGGATCATCATGAACTACCAGAGCGACTTCTCCCCGCAGCATTACTCCTTGCCAGACACTCTTGCTCAGATTGCAGCCATGAACCTCCAGTTTAGGTCAAAAGCAAGACGGCATCGTTTGGAAAAAGTCCTCCCTTGTGTACTGTACCAGCTTTTACTAAATACGAGTTGAGTTTAAAAAGAAATGATGACTTCCTGAAACTCAGAATTCTTTAGAATTAATAGCATTTTCCTTATTGAGGAAGCTCATACATTTACCGATGTAATCCAAGTGTTTCAGTAAAAACTACAGCTTCTTGTTGGATGACGGCAGTACAGACCATATTTCTTTCAGGTCTCCACAGTCTCTTCAGGAGAGTGAAAATCACAGAACAAATTCAATTTTTTTTTCCTTCACCAGCAGTCACATTTAACTTTTATATATATATATATATGAAGATGAGCAGTAATTTTGCAATATATTTAGTGTATCCTCCTTTGTTAAAACAGAAATAATTTAAGAGAACTATATGAACATATATTGTATATAAGCTCTCTCGACACAGAGTAGCATAAACAACTTCCACTCCATCGACTGAAGTCCTAATATGACAACCACGTAAACTAACCTCTTCACAGGCTCTCAGCACCACGGATCAGAGCATCCAGCCTGCGCCTCCCAACATCCCCCTCACCAAATGCCATACCTAGCATGCATAGCAGACCGCGCTCTTTCAAGCAGACACCGGACCTGCTGTGCGTAACGAACGGAACAGATGTCCTACGATTCTCAGCTGGATGACATACACTGCTACCCTGAAGAACATGTAAACATACACATGGGTAAGTGGGAAGATAGAGTTCTTCCACCAATTTTTAAGAATGCTCTCTTTGTAATAGAAAATCCTTTGCAAATTCAAACTTGGCCCTAGAAGTGCAGTAGGCAATACGCAATTTAAAAAAAATAAACACATACCACAGCAGATAAATAGGCATTTATTAAAGTTCATCTCAAACCAAACAAAAATAAGAAAGGACATTAAGGCATCTTGTATTCAGTAACGGTTCATATAGTAAAGATGACTTCTCTTTCTGATACAAGAGAGCAGATCAGGGAAAAAAAAAGTTCTCGCAACACACTTGGCAGAATGCTGAATTCCTCCCACTGTCCCACCCCTCAGTCAGCAAACCCCTCCGAAGAATGCCCATTTCTCCAATGAAAGAGCTACAAAATCTCAACACTCACTGAGACACGTGCAACAAAGCACTTTGCTCCCCTCAGATGTTCAACCTTCTGTAAAGATACACACTGGAGAAAGACTAACGGATACTGCAGAGAATAAAGAAGACATACTCCTGCTATAACCTCTCATTTTTGAGCAGACTAGAATATTTGGCCTTGCTTTCGCTAGTATTTACTATTTCAGCCAGTAACTAGAGAAAACGGGACCACAAGCTCTAGTCTGTATTGCAATGTAACAATTTTTATGTTCTCCTTCTACGTTCATATTAGATAAACAAATGACAAAGGTCTTGTTTCCGTGGAATAATTTATTTTGATGAATTATGCTGTCAAGTGACCAATCACTGTTATAGTGTTTTTTTCTTCAATTGGAATAAGAACATCAGGAAATGTTTACAGTATCATTGGGTTCACTATAACAGGATTTTACTACAGAGCAAAATATAAATTAATAAACACTGCTTATAGCACTATTCACTTCATCACATTGGCTCTCTATATACTTTGTCACATTCTAACCTTCATTTAAGGCAAGTTTTTTTTTGTTTTTTTTTTTTTTTCCAAAGAAGACTACATAGTCTCTAGATAAACTTGTGTGACTAGGTTTGCAAGTTAGGAAATTGAGCTTTATAAAATGTTTACTTCAACAAATATGAAAGTTATTGAGAGAAAGATGGTGACCCAAAATTGCACTGTATTAAAAGGTGGAGTTTCCTTGTACCAAAGTCCTTTATTCATCATCTTTAGAACCAGTTTTGCTTAACTATAAAAGAGACACAAAAAGAAAGTATTCAAAGTTTAGACTGCCATTCCATTTATTAAGAAACAAGAACAACATTATCTCCATCTTACACAGAACACAAGTATATTTAATTAATAATACAGACTGATTGTGCTACTGAACCAAGAGACCAAAAAGCATAAAAAATAATTTCTTAAGCTTAAACACTAAATGAGCTTATTTCCTGAACGTGAAAGTTGAATTTAAAAAAACAACACCACAAAAGCCCAGAAAAACCTCAGGGTACTGTTTCTATTTAATTTTTAGACTCCGTCACCAGCTATCCAAAATAAAAAAGATAAAGTAATGGAAAAAGTACCTCCACACATCTCTCAGAGAATTCCCATATATAAATTTACACAATACAAAAAGAGACATTACTAACTATTTCTCTCTCTTTTAAAGCTAGGTTCGTAATTATTAAACATGATGCATCTATCGTGCATTATGGATGTCTGGAATTCAAGACATCCACTACAAATAGCCACTTGTAACTCAGAAGGACTCTGCCTGAAATCACTACCATTGTTTGCTTGCTCTGATTTAACAATTGGAACGGGTGTTACGTCTTACACCGAGAATTACTTACAGTTGCGTAAAATAAAATGATTTGCTTTCAAAATTGTCAAGCAGCAATACTGACTTCCACTGAATCAGCAAAGACAAGAGGGTGGAAGAAATCAATGCTCAGAGAGCAAGTAGAAAAGAATTATTCTCTGGAGGAGTTGCGGCAAAGAATGCCCAGGCTTATGGAAGACAGCAAGGTGCTCCCATTTGGGACAGCTCCTTTTTTCTGCTTACTTATCCATCGCTCTCCAGAATCTGGAAGCACCACTAACTTTATTTTACATCTTGTTGCCATATGAAGACAGAATATTTGCAGTGCATTTGGCTGGCAAAGCTCTCTTAAATTTAATTGCTCAATAAAAAAGAAATACTAAACCAACAAAGTTCAAAGAGGAATCAAAGTCCTTCTGACTCTAATATTCAGAAGGACTAATATTTTAAAGCATTTGAGAGATACGTAAATTAGAATCCAAAATGAGCAACAGTTCTTAGTATTTCTTGCAAATCTTTTTAATGTTAAAAGGATAACTTGAAAATACTTACATGCTGGACACATATAGAAACCAATCAGACACCATAGTCAAAGCCAAACAAAGTTAGGGAAAAAAGCAAAGAAAAAAAACAGATTAGTTTTCTTCAGATATAAGCATAAGTTATTTTTAATGTACATACGTAGTATTTTCATAATACTGTATATAATACAGTCATGTTACCTTAATTACGTCCACCCAGTTCCACCCTCGCGGAAGCTCCCCTTTGTTATCTGCAGAAAAAGAAGCTTTTATTTTCAACACATGAGCTAAGGGAAATCTTTATCTTTCTTTAAAATCAATCTAAAGATCAAAACCCCTTAATTTCTCCGCTACAAAGTAATGAGGACAAAAATGGTTATTAATGTCTTAAACACATCTTGTTCTTCAAAGTAATTCTGTTTAAACAACACCTCAGTCCATCTGACATCTAATTTAGAAGGCAACTCCAACATGAGCTGAGCTGACCAGCAATGATGCCTCCTGCCAAAGATGAAAATTCTACACAGCTTTTCCTTTATACAGTCAATATTGAATATGCCAATTATAAATCAGGTTAGGTAAATTATATGCAGAAATTGCTATCACAGGGTGCAACTTACTGCTGCAATAGGACAGTATTATCCAAGGCATTATTAAAAATTACAGTTGAACACATAAAAGTCATAAGCAGATTAGCTGAAATACTGAATGCTTTTCAGACAAAAACCTACGATTTCATTGAAAGCATAAAGCATCTGCAAAGCACCTCTATTTTGAGGATACAAGCTAAATTAAATGGTTTATTTTGGATTCCAAAACAAATACTTTCATTTAGAAATCACATTTTTAATAATGTGAATTATTTATGGCAGCCCACCAACAAACCAGGACTTCTGTTGAAAATGAATTTTTAGAAGGCCTAAATGCTCTCCCTCACACAAGTATTTTTTGAAAATTTCATGTTTATCACTAACTGAAAAAAAAAAAACAAAACAAAACACAGCAAAACACAATGACATCTTGAAATTCCTACTCTATACCAGAACTAACATCTCAGGTAAGAATAATTCATCTAAAACAAGCAAAACAGAGAGCACAGACTTAAAAGTAGTTAATCTTATAAATAAATGACTACTGATTCTGATTCTAGCAAGATATCACTGCTATAAATTTGGATTCTCATACTGCTCAAACAAAACAATATTTTCATGTACAAACCTGTTTTATCGGCTAGCTTTCGTTTCTGGGTTTTGGATAACTGCTCCTTTTTATCTTTTTTCTTACTTGCTGGCACATCAGGAGTTCCAATTGCAATACTATTGCTTACTGAAGTCTGAGAAGGATAAAAATGGTTGTTGATATTTTGCATATTTGTTCCAGAGATACCTCTGTGTGTGATTACTGAACATACTGAAATATCTTGACTGTCAGAAAGAAGCAATGCTGTCAGCAGTCTGCAGCTTTTAATCAACACATAACCACGACTGTAGTTTCAAAAAACGTGTTGGGACTGAAATGACTCCCTTTCAGACTTGCACAGGGCATTTCCTACACTTTTTAAATTTAATCATGGAGTGTGATGTAGTCTGAAGGGATTCAGGCTTCTCCAACATGGAAACCATTCCTTCTTCCTCAAAGCAAATCTGCAGCACCACAATGGCCAGTAATGCCCTTACACAACACAGAAGCCACAAATAGATCCAGCCTGACTCATTCAAGACTCCAGAGGTGCCCTTATGCAATCCATTGCATCCCAGCAAGGTTGCAGTAATTCACCCCTTGAGCAGTTGCCTTTAATCTCCGTTTCAGCTCTCTTTAGTTTTGCTTCTGCTCCAAGTCTCCATTTTTACTTTACTCTGTGAGACAGAACTGCAGCTCACAAACATTTAGGTACAACAGCAAAATAACAATTAAATATAATGATTATGACCACGGGGCATTACGGCACCATACTCTGTGTGTCGCTGTTTAGCCACTAGCATGTGTATACCCAATATACTGATTAACAACTTAAAGACAGAGCTATGAAGCATTTAGAGTTGTAAAAATATTTTTTTTTGCAGTTGCAGAAGCAAGAGATCGAAATCTGAATTCACCTACTCACCACAGTGTTAACAGGCTGATTTTCCATGAACAGCTCTTTATTATCTTTGGCATATTCAAAAAGTGTGTATGTCATAGCAGTTCCAAGATTCGCTTCAACTTCTACCATTAACTTATCCAATATACTTTGTTTAATAGCTGAAGATCTAAAAGAAACCATAAAACTCAACTGTAATCTAGACAGATAAACAAAAACTTGCCAATCAAAAAACCCTCATACGCAAGGCTAGGGAGTGAAGCCATCATAAATACTTACATTGTGTTGTTGAAAAAAGCATCCATCGATATGACTGGTGCTGTTTGTGGATATGTTTCCGGCCAAGAAACTTCTACTAGAAAGGCTTTGGGATCTCCACTTTCACCTATCTGAAGGGAAAATAAAAACTTTATTCATCAACAGTTTCCAATCATTTATTAAGGACTACAATGCCAATACGCAAGTCTTTCACTTCTTTAAGACTATCTAAATTCCTTAAGATAACAACTATTTTCATAAAGTTATCAGTTAGAAAATAAAGCTGTTATGTAGAAAGAGTATTAAAGTTATGACATCAATATCAACCTCTACCCTGCAGTTTTCATCCTAGGAAAAGCAGCAGAAATATTTGAAGATCTATGTTGGTTTTTGGTGTTTTTTTTTTAATCACTAGGTTTTAAAAGCTACTTTGCACCATCTACAAGCTAAATATTAAACAATCATATGAGGACAGAAAAGATGAAGCCTTCTTTTTTCCCCCCACTCATCCAAGCTCAGAGCTATATGAAAACAAACCACAAGACAGTGTTGAAATGATGACAGTGACCTAAGACAGCAAAAATAACAGATAAAAATTTCAATATTTATGTCTCAGTCCTACAGATATTTTATTTCACTGTAAGAAAGAATAAGTAGTAAAAGATTTAAGAAGTCAGTAGAAGGAGATTGGATAAAAAAAGCACCACACTAAAAAGAGGCACAATTTAATATATACAATCATGCACATCAAACCAACTTAGTGAACCCAAATTACATATACAATCCTTACAATTATGTTAAATTAAATAATTTATTTCTTTTTAAATTTAAAACTCGTACAGGTGCTACCAAAGACATACTGTACAAACAGATAACTGTTTCACACAATGATTTGGAAGACTTAGTGCAACAAAGTTGGTTAAATCTATATTCTAAAACCACCCAAAAATTCTCTTACTTCCCTCACTATAGAACAGTCAATACCTGGCTTCATCAAATCATGTGGAACGAAGTGCAGGCAGAAGAAAAGTCCTAATCAAGGTAAGGCTACTGTACCTCAAAATTTAAAAAAAAAAAGAAAAAAAGAAGTTGGTGCTTTTTTATTTACAATGTCTGTTGCAGCAGAGTGGACTAACTGACATTCAGAAGCACCCGGTTTAGAGGTGAAATAAATAAGACTTTAAATCAAGAATCTGCAATATTTTTCAAGACATCATCTACAGTTTTGCAGTCCAGTTCCCACCGCTACCAAGAAGAGAACTGGGGGTACACTTCACAGAGTTCTCTCAGGAAAGCATCGTCTGCACACTGAGCAAATCCATACAGAAAGCTGCCCCTCCTTGTCAGTGCAACCTAAAAATTGGGTAGCCTTACTTTAGATGCTGCTGCCACACTTTCTCAACATTTGAAAACCTTTCTTTACTCTCAGTTTTGTAACACACCGATGACAAAACAGCTGGTTTGCATACCAGAC